CATAAATTAGTTCACAGCAGCTGTTCATTTCTTAGTGAACACTTGCCCTAAGCAATGCCAAACCAAGCTCATGCTTCTCCTGTGATTGGTAGATGTCTTGGCTGCGGGTGCGTTGGAGCGGATGGTGTTAATAGTTCTACTGAACATGTGGTCTAGAAATCCCTTAAAGTATAGACATGGCAAGGGCAAAGTTGCACACGTGTCTAAATTGGACTATATCAAGATGATTATGAAACGTAATGGTTCGTTGTTGTTTTTTCCGCTTTAAGGATAGAATGAAAACACTTATTTTAAATGATAACACAATACTATAATTAATCTATGATCTAGAAAACTGTACATTGCCTTGCACAGTTGTTCACACTAATTAATGACACTGCCATATATCCATAGCAAAATTAACTTAATTATCAAAGTGATCTTCAGCATAGTCCAAAATAGTAGTATGTACATTTTTTTAAGTGTGTTTTTTTCTTAAAATCACTGTCCTTTCATCATTAACCAAGATGACATGGTGCTTTACAATGCTGTAGAGGTCACTTTTTAGGCCTATTTATTCATGCAACCTTTATATATTCATTCAATTTGGAGAAGAACTCTTACTTAAATTAAAAGCAAAATGATAGGCCTTTTAAAAGAGCTTATTTTGGTATTAACCATTGATGTGTGTATGCATTTATGCTTTAAAGTGACTTATTCATGTTGATTCAATACTCATTTTTTAGCTAAATTCATTATGCCTTAACTTAGTTCTGTCACATCAGCCAAATTACAAATACCGTATACTATGCGTGTGCAGACTGTTACTAAGAAATCCAAAAATAATTAAATTAACTGGTGTTATCAAATACCTCTCTAAATATTCATATATGTTTTCACATTAGATGATATGATATGAATCTCTCCATATATTTCCAAATGATAACACTCTTGCAATCTTCACACTCCCCCACGTGTGAGCCTTTTTAAATGTGTACAGTAAAACCACAGAGACCATGAGAAAAACTAGAACCAGTCTATTTATCTCTGCATCTTAAATCAAGTTGTTTTTCCCCATCAGGAGAAAAGAGGCTGTTGAAAAGTCACAAGGGAGCCACTTCCTGCTGGCCGCAGCCTGGGCAATCAAAAAGAAGTATTCTAATCATCGCTGACAAAATTGTCAGACGATATCCTCCAGGGTGCTATGATACTTTACATTAGAGTAGACAGATCGATAGTGAGGATGACACGAGAGGCCACTGCAGAGGCAGATAGCCGGAGAGCCTGCAGTGCACTGCTCCACTACTGCTGATCCCCAATGAATCCAATTGACCTCACAGGACACATGCGGATGTAAGTCTACAGCACACATGTAAATGTCTTAAATAACTGCATCACTTTGCAGTATACTGGATATTTGTGTGTGTGCACCTGATCTGGTGTATGTTCACTTAGTGTTTTAGCCGGTAGACAACGTGTAAAAACTCCATCAGTAATTGAAATCAATAAGGTATTCTTTACAGTTGGCCTTTAAAGAGTGACACAGCGAACACATAATGATGTCTTAAGAAAGTCAATCAGGAAACATTTTGTATTAAAGTGGCCCACACCCCAGAGGAACCAGTTATCACATGCATCTGACAAGACCTGTGTGCTGCAAAACTAGGTCATTAAAGTGGATTAATGCTGTAATTCTGAGATGAACACACAACACAACCCCACTAATGAACCCCTCCAGTTTCTCATCAAGCTTCCTGCACTGTGGTTAATATTGTTTGCACAAACCTCGGCTTCTGATCACTCGACATTACGTTGGATAAAATAAGCCTTTGATTATAAATCCTCCACGCAGTTCAACAGTAATAAGCTGTCCATAAAAGGGACATGATTATGAAAAATAGATGATCTTCAGAGCCATATAACGTAAAGGTATTACATGTCAGATGGATACATGTTACATGGTTTTTTCAGGTAATTTGGAAAATGGAAGATCAATGATAGTGCAACATTGTTTACTTATAAGTACATATCAGCCTTTTACCGTAGGCTTATATTTACAGCAAATCACCTTATAAGCAGGAATTCAATACTCATCCCTTACTAATACATTGAAAATAACAGGAGAGAAGGAAAAAAACTCTAAATAGGTCACTTTTTTGCTAGGGCAATAATGCTGGTCATTTGTATTCCTTATCCTGGCAAACAGTATCTAACACCTGTGAGTGGAATCAAAACTATATCGAGCAACTAATGGGTCCACTTCCAAACACTGGCAGACAAAATGACTCCTGCCATTTGTGCTTGAAGGGAGGGATTCCTGCTGACAGATGATTAAATCCTAGAAGGGAAATATGCAAAAAATACAGGAGGGGAAACAGCAAAAACACGACTGGTTCCAAATTTAATTTAAAATCTGCGTCTGTGTCGAGAGGCAAAAGTTCAGTGTTTCCACAAAAGACAAACACTTTCTCTCTCCACAACACCTGACCGGAGAGGGCGGGCATAATCAGGGGAGAACACTGTTTTCTTCTCCCTTTGTCTGTGATGGAAAACCTTTAAATCCTTAGGGAAAAGTAGTCATACAGTGGAAACAGTTGTCACGAGCAACACTAGTCAGCCCCTTAGAGATGAGGGAACAAAAACAGTGGAGAAGGAATCTACACATATTGCATCTGAATGTTATGTCAAACGGTAACCATTTTGCTCTGAAATGTGTACCATTTCATATTGTAGAAGACTAGTTTTTTAAGATGTCATTGTATGTGTTGAAGTACATAATGATGTATTTATAACAATTCATTGTTTATCATCACTTTATTGGTGGTGGTAGGTAAAGTTTAATGCATTTTAATGTATCTATGCTGCATCATAAGTGATTATATGGTATCCATATAGTTCAAACATGTATTTAGTGCTCTTCTGTAATAACTTTTTACAGCTAATATTGGATTCAACATTGCAAGCTGGAGTAATAGTGGTCTGTTGCAGTGCCCTATACAGTAGGTTACTCTGTAGTCCTGCTTCAGAGATGACTTGACACAAGCACAGGGAAGCGCCCCCCCCCCTCCCCAACTAATCTATCGCAGGTGAGACTTAACACCTGTGACTTGCGTCATTTCCAAGAATTCAAACTGAAACGATTTGGGACAATAGTCTCAGTGAGTGCGATCCTAAAAAAATCCGAGAGCATCACTGAAATGACGGCGAAGAAACCACGTGTTTACGTAATGGAAAGTCAATCTTTCAATTTAACCCCTCCTACCGGTCTATTTCTAACAGAGGTCCGACGCTGAAGGAAATTCATGCAAATGTTTGTATAAGCGCACCGTACTTTTTGGAGATGCCAGTGGCGTGGTGCTGAGACAGCTCAAGAGGAAAAGACCCCACAAAGAAAGGAAGAAACGCACACTCCAGGAATCACGGACACACACCAAGAACCCAAGCCTGGCTTTTTACAGAACCGTTGCAGTGTGGGACTACAAGAAATGAGAACTGAGGTTGGCGTTATCTGACCTCGCCAAAGCAGCTGGTTTACAGGAGACAAGATTTGGACTTGATCCGGCAATGTGGTATTTTGTTGGGGCTATCATTGCAGCAGTCTGTGCATAGGATGCATCCTCCCTTGGCTTTTGATGCTGTGCAGATCCACCCTCCTCTCCTCAGAGTGATGAACTAATAGGCAATGGTTTTGTCCTCAGAAATCCACCGTGTTTTACTGTTTTCACGTTAGTTGTGTTTGTTTACTGGCGGCCCGTCTCCTCCCGGTGCGACACATGCAATTTATAGAGTATATTTTCTATTATCGACTAGTTGAGGAGGAATCCTTTATACGCCAGAAGAAGAAAACACACCATTGTTTCGAAGTCTCACAGATACTGAATATTTTGACACGTGAATGAAAGCGCATAGGACTTGGATATAGCCTATTTTTCTATGGTACAATTGGTAGCCTTGTCCTGGAAAACTGATCCAATTGTGTTATTATGCAACCGCAAGGATCTCATCTATATCTGGGTGTTTAAGCCACTGGATTGCTCTTCGCCCAAATCAATGTGGTTTCTTTGGAACATTTTCAGCAAAGGAACGCATATGCTGCAGTGTCTTTGTGGCAAGAGTCTTAAGAAAAACAAGAATCCAAGTGGTAAGCTCATCACCATTATGCCTACTCCTCCGTTTCGCTGTGAACCGGCGTTGTGCGTGCATGTGTGAGACAGTGTGTGTGGATCTGCGTTATTTTGTTTTGTTGTAATAGTGATAGATCTGCAATCATATTTATGCAGCGAGTGGATCATGCAGAGGCGCTGGGAGGGGGAACAACTTATTCTGTGCAGCTACTATCGGCGAGCCCAGGTTTGGGGACGCGCAGCGCACAGACACAAAAGACCCCCCTGCATCACCACGGCACCATGATCTCCTAACTTTTTAAATAGCGCACACGCACACGCACGCACACACACACACGCACGCACAAGTACAAACACACTGGATGCTGTTTCAATGGAGCAAATCCACGCACAGTTATTCTGTCCAACGTGATTCCCCCTAACCAGATTATTCCATCCCCGGGTTTACTGCAGCAGCATTCCCCCCTCTGCAACACCACTTCTCGATTAAATTGGCTACTCGCTGTGTTTTCAGTATGACAGTCGGAGGAGACAGACAGTTCTTTCATGTCTCTCCCTCGGCTGTTGCAGGCCAATATTCATCATGCGGAAATGTGATTTTATACGAGCGCTTGAGTTGATTTTGTATTAAAGAAGCCAGCAGCTGAGGTGCGAGTAAGGCATGTTGAAAGGAACTGGGCTCCACTGCACTAATGCAAACCCTGCACTTGAGCAGTCGAAATGGTTTCTATTCAAATCCCCTTTTTGGTAGAAAAGCGATGCATCACACAAACAGTTTTAGTTAGTAGGCCTATGTCATTAAATGTAACAATGTAGAGCTCCAGTGGGTTTTATTTTCAACAGGCTGTTGTAGGTAAAAGCACCAGGTGGACAGCTGTAGTGCGGGCTACTTGTTACCTCATGTTGTGGGTTTGAAGATGATGGGCTCAGCAGCAGCAGTTCCTCGACACTGCAGCTGCAGTATAGTAGATCATCATAATACTGTCGCGGGACTATTGCACCGTGCTGACACTGCAGGAGCAACACAAAAACACTGTTTACTATCAAAAACAAACACCATTTTAATCCCATTCTGTTTCCCTTCGATAAATGTCACGCCAAAGTGAGACCAAGTTTGTGCCTTTGCATTAGAGACACATTGCTACTTTGAAATACACATTGGAAACACTTGCCACGAATGTGTAGACATCTTTTTAATTACCTTAAAACTCTCCTAACAACGGGGAAACATATGCAGAGGAGGACACTATTTTTTAAGTTGTGCATTTAGGCCTACCTAGCAAAACAGGTAGGCTAGTTGAATAGCCTACCCATTGGCCTCGTAAAAGCAACACTACGTTTGAATACTTTATGCAAATATGTATTTATATTTATTAGAACGTTAACAATGTCCATAGGCCTACTTGTATTAGATTTTACATTAATTATCTCACTTTTACGCATATTCCTCGTAGAAGGGATATAAGCCATGTCATTTCCGCCATGTTTGTTTGTTGCCTGTTTTGGGCAGTCGAGTTGTTTTTAACGGAATCATGTTTTTGTTCAACAACTTTAAAAAGACCTGAAATATCTCAACAATCTAAAAACAGCAGTATTGTAAGTGTTTACACAACACCTGTGAGTTTTTCAAAGCGTGGCTTGTTGAAAATGTTTCAAAGGAGTAAAATATGATATCATGTCAGTCAGATGTAAGCTACAATACTATGCTACTGTATGAGCTACAGCAACAGTAGTATCTGCAGTGATAGTTGACTGAGAGCTGCAGCTACTGCCCCTCACCATGCAGACAATCGATCAAAGCTGAGATTTTCTGTCTGCTGTTTCTGAGATGGGAAGTCCTAAACATTCAAAGTAAGACTTGCCCTCATTTACTTTGTGGTGGTTCACTTAGGAGTAAAAACTGATGGTGTGGGCACAATTGTCAGTGTTTGTGCTGAAGCAGCAGGTAGAGCCAGTAGTGTGCTGGGTAGGCCAAGATGCAGACTGTGTCAGTGGGGTGCAGTAGGTACTTTTACTTATGACTAAAAAGTAATTAAATGTTCACGGTCAAACAAATAAACAGATTGGCTTCAGCTTCAGAGGTGAACCAACAACCTTAGTTATGAGCTAGTAGCTTTGTCAAAATGTGACCCAGAGGCAGGGTTACCAGTATTGTGCCCACTAGGCCTGTATTTTTAGTAACACAACATTACTGAGAGAACACAGAGAGACTAAGCCAACTGGGCTGTATCAATAAGACTGCCAGTCTTTGTCAACATAGAAACTTGTACTTGTTGTACCTCACATATTGTTGTTTTTATCTCTTTACACACACTCAAAAACTTAAAGTAAACTTAGGCTTTCTTTCTGTAGCCTTCACCAACAGTGCATCCAGAGAAGTATGAAGTAGTGTTGATTCTTTAAGCGCCTTCTGCTCCAGCAATGAGGGAATGAGATCTTGTTGTGCTGTGCATCTAATGTATGTCTTTTAGCTAGTATGGGGTTCATTATCAGGGGGAGAGGTTTTTTTTTTTATAGGTGCCTGTGTGTTTCTAAAGAGCTGAAGTCTTAGTTTGAGCAGAGCCACCATCATCGTATGCTACAAATGGAATTTAAAGCCATGGAGTGAGATCATGCCAGAGACTTGTTCTCCAACATTATTACATTTAAGTGATGAATCATAGCTTAGACAGAAGGAGATTCAAACAAAAACCACAACAATACTGCTTTTCGTTTGTGAGCCTCCAATGTTTCTCATGGAATATATCCCTTCGAAATATATGATATTTCACTTCTTGATATTTTTGTTTTGTTGTTTGCCCTTTCATCTTTATATCCTTTATCATCGTTATAGTCTGTCTGCATCCCTTTCAATTCCCTCTCATTATGAAATCCATTAGCCACTCTATCTTGCTTTATCTACAGAAGTTGGGGTAGTAAATATATTTTGTATTTACTTTATTGTTTCAAAGTTAGCGGTCATTCATTCAGCTGTTTTGATGCCCATAAGGTTGATATATGGAGCTTTCTTTTAATGAACCACATGGGGTTGTATGAAAGCCACCTGCCTTGAATGTAATTTTGAAATATTGGTGCAAGGTGTTTGCATTACTTGACTAAAGCCTCTGTTTTGAGTCATTCGATTTCTAGAAGCTGTCAATTTAACTCAACTACAAGCTGTCAATTTAACTCAACTAGTCTACAAGCTTTATCAAAGTTTCAGCACACAACAGAACTATTCACTTTCCTAACATATCACAAGTTTCCATCATGTAAAGACTGCACCTCCACTTAGCCTCTAAGTTTATCTATGCTTTTTATATCCTTTCATCCATGTCTCTGCTTTACAGCAATATTACAGTCTTATCTTTGGTAAATTGTCCTTAGGGTTGATGTGGTCTTGTACAACTGGCATTGCTGGCCAACCCTTAATGTTCATTCTCATGTCCCAGCATGTCTCTAAGTGAACATACTTCATTAAGACAATTAAGCAATGAACTTGCTGAGTGGAAGGAATGGAGATGCAGTACGTATCACCCTGCAGCCAGTGTGTAGCATTAATACTTGTGCAAATGACCACATAGACGTAATCTTAAAACTTTGTGAATGTCATTAAATGGGTCAAATAGCTGCGGTGACGGACAGGGCTCTAATGAGGGCATTTGGTGGAAAACATGAGGGGAGAAAGTTATGTCATGAACTGCCATGAGTAATAAAGCCACACAATTGAAGGGTGCTCACAGACATTTCTTTGGCTTTGCATTTTTATAAAACATTGAATGTAAAGGACATACAGTATAGCTAGGTTGCAGAAAGAGCAGAATTGCAGTGGATGTATGAAGTCAGTAGCACAGCAGTGGCTCATTGACAGCAGCGTGACAGTACAGGTCATAGAACACCCAGGCATCCACGTGAGGATGGTTCATAGCATATCAAGTGAGACTCAACTTTATTGTGTGTGACAGAGCCGAGAGTCCGAACCGAAGCTTCAGCGCTGTAATGCCGTCGCTGTTGTTTGTTTCATGAGTATACTGGAGCTTTAACCTTAAGCTCTAGCTGACCTCACACTCATGAAGCAGTGACCCAAAATAATTAGTTTGAGTTTCTGGCAAGGCGAAACATACTGTATTTTGATGGCTATAACCTTGCACTGGAGAGCCCTGGAAATGTAAATGTTTCGGCATGTGCATGAGACAAATCTATGGTACATTTATTGTGTCTCATAAAATCCTAAAAACAGTGCCAAAGTAGAGACATAAATAAGCAAAAGGCACTTGTCAGAGTGATGGCAACAATTTTTTTTAAAGACTCGTGTTTACACGGTCTGCAGGTATATTGCTATAAAGTGTTGTGACAGGTTCATGTGGTAATAGCTTTCACGACTGCGTCAGCATATTTATTCACCCCTTCATAAAATGCTTGTTCATGTGTATAAAAGCAGTTTTCTGTTGTATCAAGTTTTAAATGATGAATTATTTAGTGTAAAATATTCTCGTTACGGTGCATTGTTGCTGAGCAGAGACTTCCATAGTGTAAACTGAAATATGCATATGCATTTTAATAACTCAGATTATGCTGCTGCTATCTTTCCTCCACCTAGTCCTCAGAGGAAGGGCACTAAATCTCAAATTCAGCTTCTTTCCAAAATCATGCCCATTTAAGTATTTTAAAGGATTTTTCTTCAAGATGCAAAGTTCATTTGTGCCACATACCCACGCTAGTTTAATAATTTGTGGAAACAAAGAAACAGCAGTGTAATTAATGGGTAAGATTCAAACAAGAACTCCTACAATTAGAATAACAGCAGGGTTGGCTAAATATATCCTCCTCCAACCACCGTGCCATGTTGCTAGGTTTCTTACAGAAACAATGCTGTAAGTTTGGAAATGGCTGAACTGTAGTAGCTTTTCCAACAATACACAAGTGTTTCGAGGGCTCTGGGATATCACATCTAAAATAACACGTTTTACAGTTTAGCCAATGATAATTTATAAAGGAGTGCACCAGTCTTCAATTGGATTGCAATTGAATACATAAAACGGATAATACAAGTGTGTGATTAATACGGAACACAATTATTTTGAACCTTGACGCCTTAATTCCTATGTTCCTTTGTGGTAATTTGGAAAAAGAGATAAAGGTGCGTGTATCTGCAGTCTGTATGTCACAGGTCAACAGGAAACATTGTCTGGCTCTCGTTTTCTTTGTGGTAATGGCAGCGGCATCATCAGTTTCCACAGTTAATTAATTTGGGCTGTCTCCGTCCTGCTCTTGAGATATATGACCGGCTGCAGGGATGATGAGATTCAAGTTCCTGGCTGATGTTCTGCCTCCCTCTGAGAGACAATCAGGTTGACATACAAATCAGTTCACACATGAGGGCGAATGTATATATAGTGTATGTATAAAGAGAGAATGGAAAAGAGGGCAAGTAGAAAAAATTGGGCTCTAGAGAGAAAGCATTAATGTCTGTAGAAAATAAATCTGAATTCACATAGAGAATCTCCCAGATGCTCTTGCGTGCAGAGGTGAGAGGAATGATGGGACATGCAGTCTTGGCTGGGTGCCTGAGAGTGTGACTGGCCGCTGGGCCTGCAGGTGGAGGACGGTTTCAGAGGCCGTGCACGGAGCTGCTCTCTGCTCCCTCATGGTTAGGCCTGATGGGAGATCAGTTAAAGGCGAGAAACTGTGGAATGGATCAGCTGGCTCATAGGTTCTGGGATCTTTGTCTCATACTCTGACATTGTAATTAGAAAGAGGACTATCGGTATATGGATAATGTGATGCAGAGTATATTGACATGTCTTTTGTTATACATGTCATACGAGACATGTCCTAAAATCTTACCATTATGATCTTTTGTATTTTCAGCTTTGAACTGTTAACTTGTTTCAGTGGATTTGAGTGGCCAACATCATTATTAGATTAACAATATATCAAATGACTTCCTGATTGTGATAAGTGTTGTTCCAAGAAACAAACCCACAGATAATTATCACCCATTATCAGCTCTACAAGAGTTTCCGTGCATCATCGGCTAATTGTTTTGGTTTTTACAGCCATGTGTTGACATTATTGGTTAGGTTCAGCTCTCATTTGCCTCATTTCTAGTCGCAGCAGGCAGCTGTTTCCAGTTGGAAAGAAACCCAAC